AAACTTTGGATTTTTGGATTCATACTACTTGAGGTAGAATGTCTAGATGATTCACCAATGGATCTGGGTGATTCACTAATATTATTTGATAATATAGATTTTTGAAGTATACTTGTATCATTCCATATTATTTGATTGGGAAATTAGATTTCTATTTTCCCATCCTGATGGTCGATTATTCTATCAGGAATATTTCGATTAGGTGCTTTTAAATGATGATTTTCATTTTCTATCTTCCAAGATTCAGATAGTTTAATATCTGCCCATTGTATAGTTTTGGGAATTATTACATTTGATTTTTCAATATTAGTTTGGAAGAAAGTAGTTTTTCTTTTTGTATCCATTTAGATAGCATTTGGACACAATGTATTCATTACTTTATAATATATTCTATATACAATGGCAATATTTTGGGATCCTAGTAACATGTCAAAACCTTGGGTTTTAAGATTTAATGAAAATACTTTTAATATATTGGGATCAGTTAATGATATTGAATAATCTAAGAAACAATTGAAATAGATTGGTCCACTACATAGACTTCATTCTATCACTCCTAATAGGGAATCAGAAAACTTATTATGCCTAATATCTCTTAAACATATTAAGATGGAGTTATTTAATCCTAACCTTGTTAAGGGTTTAATGGCTATTTAGATTAATCCTATATGTAAATAATTATAGTTTTTAGTTTTACGCACCTGTATTATTTTATATAATAATAATTGGAAGTTTTCTTGATTACTAATAACTGATAGGGATTATTCTACAGTTTTTATAGCATAACCTACTTTTAGTTCAAAGTTCATGTCTTATATATATATCTGAAATTGGTACTTTAGGTATATTTCAGTTTGTGATTTGTTTTTCTATATTGTCTATTACAACTTCTTTTTTGTTTTTTATTCTTAAGAGTATTACTAGCTTGTGGTAGTGCTTTACATGATAGATTCCTAATGAAATTTGCCATTATTAGGTTGCGGATGAGTGTTTTCTTAGCTACCTCTTACGTCTTTTAACCTCAACGGCTCTCCTGGCCTCGACTGGGTGCTCGTGAGCCTCAACTCTCGGACCAACTTTCTTTAATAGTAAATATCAATAGTGTTTCTTCCTCATAAAGTACTAGCATTTACTATGAATACTCCTTGAATAAGGTACAAAGATATATGTTGTTCACAGAGTTGGCTCTGAGACCATTTGCACGCCAAGATCAACTCTGATACTTCTACGTTCTAAATTAATCTTGCATAGCTTAGATATTGTAATATTAGGATTATTATAAGTACGGAAAAGGAAGCTATATCTATAATTAACCAAATAGAATAAGTGTTTTGATAAACCTCGGACTTTACTGCTTAATAAACTGGAATGTATTTTTAAGATTCTCTTGGATAACTGCTTCGAAGGCTGGACGGCAACAGGTAAGGGGAAGGCAATAGTTGGACGACAATGATTGGACGGCAGGTAGACGGTGGCTTCAAATGCATGAATGGCTGAGTGGATGATTGCTGCACTGATGTGGACGAATACAAGGAATCTTTGCTTTTATTGTTGAAGGTTTTGTCTTATATGGATGGATATCGGCAGAGAGTGTCGGTGAAGTATTTGCTGTCATATCAACAGGGCATCTTTTATCATATCAGAGCATCGTCAGTCACATCAGGGCAACTTCTGTCATATCATGGTATTTTCTGTCATATCATGGCATCTTCTGTCACATCAGATATAAAGGTATGCTTATCGGTTTTATAATTTTAATACAGTAATTGTTTTTGGGACATTCCGTGAGCATACTGATCTTCCTCGGTGGTAGCTTGGGTATCAGTGGTATCTGTATCCTAGGCTGTTTCTACTTCTTTTGTGAAGATTTCAAATAACTGTTTTTCAAACTCAGCTCTGGTGGCTTGAGGATTTTGTTTCCTCATTTGAGATATATATTCAGACAAATTATTTGGGTTAAAATAAATAGGTTTAAAACCAGTTGGGACTTGTTTAAGTATAATATGCTCTGGGTCTAAATTGTAGTAGACAAAAACGTCCCATCACTTTACAGCAATCTGCTTTCCAAGACAGGAATATATTCATAATTGTTTATATTGTTATCAGATATAGCAAAGGACCATTTGAGGATCCAAGGTATTTGGTACAGAACAACAAAGTATAAATGATAGTTTGTCTTAGGATTTTTTCCATTATGTTCAATAAATTTCTCTTGGGATGCTTGCAAGGTGTCTGGCATTATTTGCAATAGAGAGCCCCAAATTGTGAACCAATTTTGAAACAATTAGAGAAAGGTTCGGTTACTGCCATTTTGAATTTGAAGAACCATGTATGGGAATTGTATTGGTTTTGAATGGTGAGTATGCGATGCCAGGCATCAATATAATCCGAATATCTGTAATGCTTATTTGGGAAATCAGGGGATTGCAATTTTTTTGATCGAGAAGGGTCTAAACCCCATTCACTGAAATTTAATATTTTTCTTATCTGCAATTTAGAGTATGATACTATTTTTTAATTCTTATGGTAATAATGAGTCAAATATATAGAGCCTGTTTCAAGCAAAATCATTTCAAACCACTCTCTTGTTTTTATGTCATTAGAGGGATTCAAATTATTACACAGATAGTATTTGGCTACATTATTGGGGTCTTCTGAGGCATGGATATTTTCGATTATAACATCTACAATAAATGAGATATTTTCATATGGAGACTTATCTGAGGTTGTGGGTTTTCTAATAGTTGGAGACTGAATGAATAATGGTGTTTGAGGAGATAGTGGTGCATGACTAGAATATTGTGGATAATTTAATGAACTATTTGGGATACTTGGAGAATAAAGAGCTAGATTTATGCTTGGAGATTGAGCAGATTGTACAAGAACAATATCTAATGATATTTCCATGATATTTCCATGGGAGCCTTTCCTTTGGTTTGTACCGTATTAGTATTCATGATTGTCTATATTGATGATGTTTTAGTATTCTTTGAAAATACAGATCAACATTTCAAACACATTAATGTTTTTACAAATGCAGTCAAACATGCAGGACTCGTAGTCTCTGCAAAAAAGATTAATCTATGCCAGACTAAAATTAGATTTTTAGGACATCATATTCATTATGGGACAATTATTCCAATAAAAAGGTCTATTCAATTTGCTGACAAATTTCCAATTATTATATTTGATAAAACTGAACTACAAAAATTCTTAAGATGTTTAAATTATATTATAGATTTTTATGAGAATCTAACAATAGATGCTAAACCTTTGTATGAGAGAATCAAAAAGAATCTTCCGAAATAGACAAACGAACATACTCAAGATATAAAAAAGATTAAACTCAAAGCAAAAGAATTACCCTGCTTAACTTTAGCTCATTCTAATACTTTAAAAATCATCGAATATGATGCCTCCGAATTAGGATTAGGAGGTATATTAAAACAACGGCTTAATAATACTGAACAATTAGTACATTATACTTCTACAGCATGGAATTCTACTCAACAAAATTATTCTACGGTCAAAAAAGAACTTCTTGCTATTGTACATTGTGTCACTAAATTCCAAAGTGATATATTAAATATTCATTTTTTTATTCGGGCTGATTGCAAAGCTGCAAAAGATATTCTTGAAAAAGATGTGCAAAATTTGGTTTCAAAACAGATATTTGCCCGTTAGCAGGCCATTTTATCTTCTTTCGATTTCTCTATTGAACATTTAAAAGGTTCTGCTAACCATCTTCCTGATTTTCTCACCCGTGAATTTTTGCAGAGAGGGCAACATTGACTATTTTGATCCTCCAACAGACTTATCTTTACCTTTAATATTATTCAATAAAAATAGAGCTATTGAAAATCAAATCATGAATATTAATACTGTACAAACAAAAGGAAAGGCTCACATGAAAATATCATTAGATATTGTTCCTATACAATCTGCTCAATCTCCAAGCAGAAATCTGGCTCCTTATTCTCCTAGTATCCCAAATAATCCATTAAATTATCCACAATATTCTAGTCAAGCACCACTATCTCCTCAAACACCACTATCTCCTCAAACACCATTATTCATTCAGTCTCCAACTATTAAAAAACACACAACCTCAGATATGTCTCCATATGAAAATATCTCATTTATTGTAGATGCTATAAGCGAAAATATCCATGTCTCAGAAGACCTCAAGAATGTAGCCAAATACTATCTGTGCAATAATTTGAACCCCTCAAATGGCATAAAAACAAGAGTGGCTTGAAATGATTTTGCTTGAAACAGGCTCTATATATTTGACTCATTATTATCATAAGAATTCGAAAATAGTATCATACTCTAAATTGCAGATAAGAAAAATATTAAATTTCAGAGAATGGGGTTCAAACCCCTCTCGATCAAAAAAATTGCAATCCCCTTATTTCCCAAATAAACATTACAGATATTCGAATTATATTGATGCCTGGCATCGCATACTCACCATCCAAAACCAATACAATTCCCATACATGGTTCCTCAAATTCAAAATGGCAGTAACCGAACCTTTCCCTAATTGGTTCACAATTTATGGCTCTTTATCCCAAATAATGTCAGACACCTTGCAAGCATCCCAAGAGAAATTTATTGAACATAATGAAAAAAATCCCAAGACAAACTATCATTTATACTTTGTTGTTCTGTATCAAATACCTTGGATCCTCAAATGGTCGTTTGCTAGTGGAAAGCAGATTGTTGTAAAATGGTGGGACGTTTTTGTCTACCACAATTTAGACCCAGAGCATATTATACTTAAACAAGTCCCAACTGGTTTTAAACCTACTTATTTTAACCCAAATAATTTGTCTGAATATATATCTCAAATGAAGAAACAAAATCTTCAAGCCACCAAAGCTGAGCTTGAAAAACAGTTATATGAAATCTTCACAGAAGAAGCAGAAACAGCCTAGGATACAGATACCACTGATACCCAAGCTACCACCGAGGAAGATCAGTCTGTTCACGGAATATCCAAAAAACAATTACTGTATTAAAATCATAAAACCGATAAGCATACCTTTATATCTGATGTGACAGAAGATGCTATGATATGACAGAAGATGCCATGATATGACAAGATGTCATAATATGACAGAAGATGCCCTGATATAACAGACGATGCTTTGATATGATAAAAGATCCCCTGTTGATATAACAGCAAATACCTCACCGACACTCTCTGCCAATATCCATCCATATAAGACAAACCTTTAACAGTAAAAGAAAAGATTCCTTGTATTCGTCGACATCAGTGCAGCAATCATCCACTCAACCATACATGCATTTGAAGCAACCGTCTACCTGTCGTCCAATCATTGTCGTCCAAGTATTGCCTTCCCTTTACCTGTCGCCATCCAGCCTTCGAAGCAGTTATCCAAGAGAATCTTAAAAATACATTCCAGTTTATTAAGCAGTAAAGTCCCTAGCCTATAAAAGGCATGAAGCCCCTGCCAAGAAAAACATCCCTAAGAATCAAGAAGCTAGCATCTTTCGAGAGTTTTTTTAAGATTCCTGCTCTCTTCTCATTTCTCATGTAAAAATTAGTTGTAGTATATTGTGTGATGTGTGATTGTAATTACGCTTCTCTACCAAGTCACTGTCCAACCGAGTGGAAGTCTTTTTGCAATTATTGTATCTGTACTCTGTAAGTTTTCTTACTTCTATCTGTAAATAGTATGTTATCAATTGTATGTAAGTTTTCTTGCTTCTACATGTAAACAATATGTTATCAGTTGAATATAAACTTTCTTATGTAGTATAATCTTATCAGTTGTCTTAGAAACAGTTATTTGTATTAAGTTGTTTATATCAAGTAGTTATGTTCCTAAGAATTGTTTTTACTATCAAGGTTTATCAAAACACTTATTCTACTTGGTTAATTATAGATATAGCTCCATTTTCCGTACTTATAATAATCCTAATATTACTATATCTAGGCTATGCAAGATTAGTTTAGAACGTAAAAGTATCAGAGTTGATCTTGGCGTGCAAATGGTATCAGAGCCAACTCTATAAACAACATATATCTGTGTACTTATTTAAGGAGTATTCATAGTAAATGCTAGTACTCTATGACGTAGAAACACTATTGATATTTACTATTAGAGAAAGTTGGTCCGAGAGTTGAGGCTCATGAGCACCCAGTCGAGAGACCGTTAAGGCTAGGAGAGCCGTTGAGGTCAAAAAGACTTAAGAGGTAGCCAAGAAAGCACTCATCCGCAACCTAATTATAGTAAATTTCATTACGAATCTATCAAGTAAAGCACTACCACAAGCTAGTAATACTCTAAGAATAAAAAACAAAAAAGAAGTTGTAATAGACAATATAGAAAAACAAATCACAATTTGGAGTATACCTAAAGTACCTATTTTAGATATATATAAGACAGGAACCTTTGAACTAAAAGTAGGTTATGCTATAAAAACTGTAGAACAAACCCTATTAGTTACTAGTAATCAAGAAAACTTCCAATTATTATCAGATAAAATAATACAGGTATATAAAGCTAAAAACTATAATTATTTACATATAGGATTAATCTAAATAGCCATTAAACCCTTAACAAGGTTAGGATTAAATAACTTCATCTTAATATGTTTAAGAGATACTAGGCATAATAAGTTTTCTGATTTTCTTTTTAATGTTATATATTTTTGGTGAGCCTGTT